CATGTCTCTAGAGCCCGGACTAATGCATAGAGTTCCTTGTCATAGGTCGGGTAGTTCAGTGTGGCTCAGCTTAGTTTCTCACTAAAGAAAGCTACTGGCATCTTCCTTTGATGTATTACAGCTCCAATGCCTAAGCCAGAAGCGTTACATTCCACCTCAAACATCTCATCAAAGTCTGGTGAAGCAAGAACCGGTACCTCGGTCGGTCTTTCCTTAAGTGTTTTGAACGCTGCTTCTTGAGCTGCTCCCCATGAGAATGGCATGTTCTTCTTGATCACAGCAGTAAGTGGGGCAGCTACGGTGCTGAAGTCTTCCACAAACCTCCGGTAGAAGCTAGCTAAATGTGGAAGCTTCTCACATGGCTGATTGTAGATGGTGTTGGCCATTCCCGTATTGCTTTGATCTTCTCTTCATCCACTTGTAATCCATGTTCACTTACTACATAGCCTAAGAAAACAAGTTGATTAGTACATAATGTACACTTCTTAAGGTTGGCATAAAGACCTTCCCACCGAAGTGATTTAAGCACTACTTCGAGATGCTTGAGATGATCAGCTAAGTTCTTCCTATATATAAGTATATCATCAAAATAAACTACCACGAATTTAATTACATATGATCTAAGAACCTGGTTCATAAGCCTCATGAATGTACTCGGGGCATTAGTCAAGCCAAAGGACATGACTAACCAATCATACAGCCCTCGCTTGGTTTTGAAGGCAGCTTTCCACTCATCTCCTTCTCGCATTCGGACTTGGTGGTAGCCACTCTTGAGGTCCACCTTTGAAAAGATAGTAGAACCACTCAGCTCATCTAGCATGTCGTCTAAACGTGGGATAGGGTGGCGATACTTGATAGGGATAATGTTGATGGCCCTACAGTCCACGCACATCCTCCATGTCTCGTCTTTCTTTGGGACCAACAGTACAGGAACCGCGCAGGGGTTAAGGCTCTCTCGAATGTAGCCTTTGTCCATCAAATCTCTCACTTGCTTCTCTAACCCCTTAGTTTCTGCCGGGTTCATCCTATAAGCTGGCTTGTTAGGTAATGTTGAACCGGGAACGAGGTCTATTTGATGTTTTATGCCTTGGAGAGTGGGTAATCCTAGTGGCATCTCCTCGGGGAACACATCTTGAAAACGGTTTAAAACAGATTGTACCTCGGCTGGTATCGCCAAGTCACCTAATCCTGTACTTAGAGATTCTTTGAAATACATCTCAGCACGGTGCCTTTGGCACTCGTGGTATTAGAAATGTCATTAACCGAAAGATACAAACTGGTCTTACTTACCCCGGTCTCCTTAGTCATGTGCATTTGCAGCTCAAGCACTTCAGTAGGACTAAGACGAGCAAGATTGTACTTGCTATCCTTGTGCGTGAAAGCATAATGATTGGTACGACCATTGTGGCTCGCGGCGCGGTCAAACTGCCAAGGCCTTTCCAGCAACAAGTGTCCCGTTTGCATTGGTACCACGTCGCATAGCACTTGGTCGAGGTACCTCCCAACACTAAATGATATGATGACTTGCTCGGCTATCTTCAGTTCGGTTTGATCGTTCAACCATCTTAGCTTGTATGGCCTCTGGTGCTTAGTCTTCTCTAGACCTAACCTGTCTACCATGTACTTGCTAGCCATGTTAGTACAAGAACCACCATCTATAATGAGATAACATACTTTTCCCTTTATAGTACATCTTGTACGAATGATGTTTTCCCTTTTCTCTTTCTCCTCGGGGTTGATAAGTACACTAAGTACTCGCTGTGTCACTAAGAGCTCTCCTTTGTCATGGTATTGAATGTCATCATCAGCTTTATCATAGTCCTCTTCTAGCTCATCATGCGACTCATACTCTCCACTAGGGGTGAGAATCATAGCTCGATTGTTGGGGCATTCTCTAGACATATGTCCCTACCTTGACACTTAAAACATATTATGTCACGAGTCTTTTGATTAATACTAGAAAACTTACCTTGCTTGAGTTTATTAAACTTTGGAGCCTCGATATTCTTGATCTTGAAGCGATAATCAATCTCCATGCCCTTTCCCTTGTCTAAGGGCTGGGAACTGCTTGCAGCCCATGATTGACTTGTTTTGTTGCGGTTGTAGTTGGGAGCTTTACGCTTGATTTGTTGCTCCACTTAAACAGCTAAGGGTAGCAACTCGTGCATCCCTCCATACTGCATCCGCTCCACCTTTCTTGCAATTCTTTCTTGCAAGCCATCAAGGAACTAAGCCATTAAGGCTTCCTCGGATTCTTCCAACTCCAAAGAGTTCATTATTTTCTCAAACTCTTCAAAGTGCTCATCCACGCTCCTTGCTCCCTGAGATAATTTACGAAAACATTTTTGTAAGTCCCTATGATAATTTTCAGGTACATACCTTTGGCATAGCAAGAACTTCATGTCCCTCCATGTAGGGACTTGGCCAAAACGCTGCCTTCTCCTCTCGGCTACATTCCTGTCCCACCAAGCTATTGCATTCTCGTTAAGATTAGCAGCCGCTACAGCCACCTTCTTGCGCTCAACATTTCCGTAGCATTCAAAGATGTGATCCATACGCCTCTCCCAATCAATTTATACCTCGAGATTAGACTTTCCTGCAAAGGGAGGATGGGTTAGCTTAATGTCATGGTGATTATCTCTAGGGTTTACCTTGCGGTTTGGGTTTCTTTATAGAGGATCTTGTCTCCTTTGCCCTCGTCTCATGAGAGGATCAAAGTTATCATCATCAGTGTCTTTCAAACTCAATGTCCGGCTCTACTGGTGGTATAGGGGCTCCACGCACAGCCGCTCTCCTTGGTTGATTCTCAATCTGCTCAATGTGGGCTCCAAACTCTTGGCGAATAATTTCCATTTCTTGGGTCATGTTCCTCATGTCCTCCCTCATGGCAGTTATCAATTGGACAAGATCATTTGGTGCACCGTTTGCTCCTTCAGTCATGTTGTTTCTGCTTGTTTAACCTTGCAACACTTAACAAACTTGTCACGGTACCAATGAAATCCAAAACTAACAAAAGATTGCTAACTTCACCAATAATCAAACAAAGCCGATCAAGAGACAAATCTAGCAACAATGTTCACTTAGCAATCAAACTAGAACACAAATAACACAAAGAAAAACTTTTTATGGTTTTTATAAGTTTATGAAATCAACGAACAACTTAAGCAATGGAAATAAGGCAAACAATTCAGATCTATTATTTTATGGGGGATTTGTTTTTTTTATAAAACTTAAAATTGGCGACATCAGAGCCTAGATTTGATTTTCATGTCTTTATGGGAATGGGCTCAGACGAAAGGTAAAGGGGATGCTACAAGAGAAACAACCCCGGTTATAGCAATTACACATTGATGGGCTAAATTGTTTAGTAGATGGATCTTAGAAAGAGATGGCAGCTAATTCGGGTCTGGGATGGTGCTGTCACGGCTTAGGATCCGAGGGCACTCTTATGGGTGAGAGGAATGTGAGACGTAGTCTTTCATCACTACACGCGGAGTTAGAGGCTTTAATATGAGCCATGCATTGTATGCTAGATAACAGAAGATTTATGGTGAACTTTGGTACAGACTACTCTGAATTGTTACGTATGGTGTCCAGTCTAGATGAATGGCCAGCGTTCAAATTACACTTAGAGGAATACGAAACAAGCAAGAAGGACTTTATTCTTTGAATTCTGTAAATTTACATATCCCACACGCTCAAAACAGAAATACGGATAAGTTAGCACGGAGTGCTAGAGATCATCTTTGTTCTTTGAATTGTGTAAATTCAGTTCCATCGGTTTGAATTTCTCAATCGTTCTAGGCGCTGATGTTGTTGTCAAAAAAAAAAACTTAAAAAAAAAGTTATAAAATCTTGAAAAGCATAGTATTTTTATTTTTATTGAATAACTATGTTGAAGCATTACATAAATTTTTCTTTTTAAATATTCTCAAACAAAATTTTCAAATTATTAATATTTAAATACATATTACGAAGAGGCGTGAAAAGGTGATGAACCCACTAACAACAGATATGATGGCTGTACCAATTCCCAATGAGGACAAAAGTAAAGATTTAAGTTTATGGAGATATGACGAGGACGATTATCGAATCCATTTTTCCGCTAAGAGAACATGAGATCAAGTTCGTAGCAATAGAGATAGAGTGTCATGGTTTAACATTTTTTAGTTCACATAAGCGGTTCCTCGATACCTTTTTATTTCCTGGCTTTCTATTAGAATCAGACTGTCTACGGGGGGTCGAATGCGTATGTGAGGACAAGAACAACATTGTCTTTTCTGAAGAGAAAGATCTGAAACCAGAGTCCATATTTCCTTTGCATGCCCTTATACTTTCACTGTCTGGTAAACCTTAGCAGCGAACATGTTGGGTAGTTTAATGGACCTAGATTGGTCTCATACATTGGCATCCATCATCTCAGATACTTTTGGAGATTTGGAACAGTTTTTATCAGATTAGTTTTCCAGACAGTAGTGTATCATATATGGCTAGAGCGAAACGCTAGGAGACATAGAGCAAGTTGGATGGGTGATCCGCAACTTATCTGCATGGTTGATAAAGCAATGAGAGATTGAATATCCTCCGTGAAGAATACTATACCGCACAAGTTGGAAGCGCTTCAGCGCAGGTGGTTTGAGATGGGTAGGCTGATGTAGAATTTTTCTTTACCGTTGCTGTTTCTTTTTTACACTAGTCTAGCAGTTTTTTTATAAATATCTCAGATGATCAATAAATTTGAAATTTCATCCAAATTTTTTTTTATGATGTGAAAAACAAATATGGTATAACATGACAACTATTTTTATTTATTTATTAATAAACGATAAACACATATATATTACATGCATAAACAACAATGAACATGTCAAACCATGACAAATTCTAAAATAAAAATATTGACTTGAAGATGAAAATAAATTGATAGAAATTTAAATTAATTTAAGAGTTTATCATGACGTTTGGAGGTACGTCAAAACATTTTAACTTTATTGTTGTTAAAGCTGAGACACCTTCAGAGAACTGTCATCCCCGATTTCATTACCGCTACCTTCTCTTTTGGGCATGTCAGTATTTTTTTTACCATGTTGCAAAATTCTCTACATACAAAAATAAATATTTTCAATAATATTTTTCTAAGATTTAATATCGATAGAGAAGAGAGAGAGAAAAAAAAATAAGTGAGAAGAAATGTACGGCCATGGATTATCTCCAACCAGCATTATATCTTTTTCATCGTCTATGAAAATGATTTCCCATTGATTAGGTATACGCAATTCGTCTTCAAGATCAAAGAGTTTCTCCAACTCACCGATCAACTCATTGTATCCACCAAGAACAGTTAAATCCACTGTTCTCTCTATGGCTACACCTTGCATCTGAACATGTTCAAAACGATATCAAGAAACTAATCAGTATCGTTTCAATTTATTTAAAAACGTTATGAAAGTTTCTTTCCATATATTTAATGTATTATAATATTTCATGTTAAAGTAAAGATTTTAATATAGATAAACATATAATCTTTATAGTATATATATTTTTGAATTGGATATATTGTTTTATGTTTAAGTTAAATATACAAAAAATACAGTTCTAGAACTCACTATATATATATATATATATTTATAAAGTTAATAACGACACTTTGTCATACCTTAGTACGACTTCTATGAGACTTGATTTGCTTTTTTCATTATTTTTTGGTATTGTAAAACCTTGGGGTTGGCCGAGCTTATTTTCTTCACAGATTTTAGAAATTTCTGACTTTTCATTTGAGTCAATTAGTCCCACAGTATTTTTTGAGATGGTGGGAGCCCCTAGATCCACTGCAAACAATTTGTACCTAGTGGTTGTACCAACGGTTTCTTTGGTTGGGACTACGTAATTCATTAGCCAGCCAGATGAAATCTTAGAATCATCGACTGAATCATGATAACTAAATTGAGAAACATTGGTCAGAGCATTCATGCTTGATTGGTCAATTTCCTGGCCTTGAGTAAGTGTAGGAGTCCACAAATTCGAACCTATGTATAGAAATATAATAAGAACAATTTCACAAAGAAGCTTTAACTTACCAAAAAATGCTGTCTTACCTATTTCAACAAGTTGGCGTTGATGTTTGTTCTTAAGCAATGACGATTCAAGAGCATTTGATGAAGGTGCTAAAAGTTCAATATCCCAAGATGAAATTCTATTAGGTCTTTGAATTGATGCAACTACATCTCATTGCACCTAGAAAAACAGAAGCTTGTGAATGTTATTTATTACTCTTTTTTAGGTGTATTCTAAAATAATGTATAAATATAGATAGAGAGATTCTTACTTTTAAATTTCGCCATTCAGAGTTCTTCCAATAAGAAGAGAAATCTTCTATTTTTGTAATTTTTCCAAAGTATCTTTTGCAATGATAACAAACATGTTTTTAATAAACATATTTTGGTAACAACAAACATGTTTTTAATAAATATATTTTGGTAACAACAAACAAAAATAAGTATTTAGGTTTTACCTTTTTTCATTAAAGTCATCATCTTCGAATAACATTGTCAATCTTGAATTTATATTGAACTTGTTGTTCACTGCATCTAAATATTTGTCAAAGCTTACAATGAATTGGCTTGACCTATGAATAGCAAGAACCAAAATATAAGTATATTTGCTGAAAAAACCAATTACATGATGTTTTAAATTAAGTAACAAAGTATTTTTTTCATTACCTTGGCTTATAGAACACAGTAAACATACTTTTTGTTATAATAGCAGTCATTGCAGAAGCTATTACTCCATGATGCATACTATGTGAAGAAATAAGTAATGAAGCTATGTTGCCTTCTCGGTGACCTACTCTTCTAGTTCCAATTAGCGTCTCCCCGTTTTCTCCTCTTAAAAAGAAAACATTTTATGTCTAAAATCAAAGAACAAAAAATGTAAAATAACTATAATACATACCTAAGAAATATAAAACAATCTCTAGTGACCAATTGTTTTGCGGTCACAAATGCATTCCATCCAGTTGTGAAAAGATGCCTACGCGGTGTACCTACTTAATTGTTTATAAAAAATTCAGATCAGTAATCATAAAGTCGTACATGAAAATATTTATTACCTCTAAATATATGTTTAAATCTCCATTCACGATCATGCAGATCTTTTGCAACTATTTCTTGTGTTGGTGTAAGATGAGATATATCCTAGAAAAAAAATTCAAAACAAACATTTATAAGTAAGCATACAATTTGAGACAAAACATTAGTTGATAAACTAAGTATAAATACCAAAGGTGGAAGACATTCAAGAGCATTTTTTTAGAACCTATAATCCACCATGTGAACTTGTATCAGAAGCACATTAAACTTTGGTGAAATAATAAATTTGTGGAATTTCTTGATTGCTACTTGGAATAGGGATTCCAACTTCCTATAAAATTTTGAAATCCAAATATTCATTTAATAGAGGTTAGAAAAAAAAGATAAAATATATAAAATTAGCCACTCACAGTTGTATCTGGCCGGAAAGCCACTTCGGCATACAATTCATTTGCATAGTTTTCTACCTAAAATCAAACAAAAAAAATAAGTAACAAGTTTTTTTTGATGATAATAACATAAAATAATATTATATATCTTATGACCAAATATTGGTAATGCTCATTCTCTAAAGTATATTATTAATACTAAAGAGGCCTACCTTTAGCTGAATTCCAATAACATTGCATGAAAGCTTTGAAGGAATATCATAAAGTGGCTGGATTTGGGCCAACTCATTATTTTTAGATGCTTCAAGCTGATAAAGTCATCAGATTGTAGAAAAAAACTTAACAAGCCAAGATAGAAAAATGGGAGAGAATATATAAGGATACATGGAGAGAAACTGATCTGCTCTATGTGTCCTTGAAGAAAGTAATAAACTCTTTCTCCAGATTTTGGAAGACCAAACAAAGGTCCAGCACATAATCTCCATAATTCATTATACAAATAGCTTTTGGTTTCATCGACTGTTAAACAAAGAAATATTATCATGAAAAAGTGCTTAAAAAGACAAAAGCTAAGTTTAGTTTTGTTCTCGTATACCTAATAAATAAGGTTGCACAGTCATCTCTTGATTACTCGCCATTAGCTCTTATCCCAACACTGGTCTGAAACTTTCACTTTCGATATGAGATCGTTTTAACACAATAAAAAGAATGTTTTCTGATTTTTATTTTTTACATGATGTTGTAATTCAAAAAATTAGAGAATTTTTCATAAATGCGCAAAATTCAAAAAATAAAGGAATATCCGAGCAGACTAATTTGATTATTTTTATCATTTTAGCATCAAGAATTTGTTTATATAATAGATGAAAAATGAAAATTTGGAATTTATGAATACTGGTATAAGAAAGAATCAATATACCTTTGTTGAACGTATTGTGAGAACTTTGTTTAATGAACTTGTGAAAAGTTTTAGATATGCAAAAAGTTACTTTAAAGGAGCGAGTTTTTCTTTTTCTTTTTCTTTTTTTGTTAATATTGATTTACCATAGATTTGATACATAGTATGTATTTATAGGTGAAACAATAACAAAATTATACATCAATATTATGAATCTTTGACTATTAATTTATGCGAGTTACCAAAAAATAAAAGTATGGTCAAACATGTATTTTATAGTCAAACATGTATTTTGTTTTTTAAAACGAAACTTATTAAATACCAATTTAACTATATTTCCAAAAAAAAACATTATGTAATAGAGCTATAGAAGAATTGAGTATTTGAGACCACCCTGCATAATTAGGTGAGAATGCCTTCAAATGGACGATAAGAAGGTGTTCATGGGAGAAACAAATGCCGAAAACAGAATCTCTAGCCTTTTCACTAAAAAATGAGAGTATTTTTCGAGGAGTATTTCTTGTATCTTTTTCCAATGATTGATAAATAACTTAAGACAAGCTATAAGGGTTTGATAAAGTTGATTCAGTCTCCGACTGTATTGTGAAGTTTCTCTAATCTTTTAGTTGAATTTGATGTGCTTGGAGATAGATCTAATAATTTTATTCCTGTCCTCTCAAGCCTTTGGGCAGAATGTTTTGTAATGTATTCATTTTTTTAATCCCAAAGTAATCAACTGAAAAGATGAACAATACACAATTATGACTATGAGATTGATGATAACAGGTTTTTAACGTGCAAGCAGAGAGGTTATTAAAACTCAAGCGTACACAATTGTAGTATAGCAAGAGGTATCAATCCACACCTAGGGAGCAGGAAGAGCAATGAGAATACAAGGATCTAGCAAATCTAAGCAAAATGGATGAATGATTGGTAAAATCTAGGAAAACTAAATGCAACGATCTAATGCAATGCAAAATAATTTTAAAATCCCTGGAAGACGGTTAACTACCACGAGGAACAAGCAAAAGATGAAAAATGCAAAGCTACTAAAAACTAAAAATCGACCAGTGAATCGACCACAGGATCGAGCACTGGATCGAGCATAATGGATCGATCTAACAAACAACTTAAAGCAAAACGACTTTTGATGAACAGGATGCAAACTAAATGACAAGCGAATGATGAACAGAGGTTTAAAACACTAAAAGAGAGGGTTTAGGGTCGAGGGTCATATTCAAGGGTATCAAAGATTCAAGCTTTGGTTTAAAAACATTTAATTCTACTCTTTTAAGAGGTTTCTCTAAGCCTTGAAATCAAAACAAGAACCATCCATGGCGTGTGGTATGGTTCACTTCCTCAATCTCTTCTCCAAACCCTTGGCATTGGTGGAAAAAGAGATTGAAAAGCAAGAAAGACAGATTTCAAATATTGACCTAACTAATCCCCTAAACAACCATGGCATGTGGGAAAGGAAGGATTAGCCTCTAGGATCTGGTTTTCCAGGACATCTGAATCCTGTCAAGGTAAGACAGCCTTTGGGTCATAGAGACCTTTTCCAAGGCTCTCTAGGCTTTAAGATCCCAAGATCCTAGAAGAGAAGGTATGAAGAACAAGAAAACACAAGGCTTTGAACCCTTTCAACCCTTTTGAATCACCTCAACCCCAAAACCCAAGAAGACTACTCACTACACATGTTTAAGATCGAATCAAAAGCAATAAACGATAAGCTAAGCATGATTAACGATAGATTAAAGAAAAACTTGCTTGATATTAAAAGATTCAAAGGTTCAAAAACGAAAAAAAAGCTTAAGCTGTTCTACAATGGCGAATCGCCTAACTTAGAGAGAGAAAGGAAAAGACAGAATGAAGATAGGATAAAGGTGATGGCTGCTTTTGCCAAAAATGGCTTAACCGTTAGCTGGCCCCCCCTTCGCTAGCCTCCAAAGACAGCTGGACGGATAAGGTTCGTCTGGGATCGACCTTGAGATCGACCAATGAGCCCGATCATCTTCAGGAATCGCCTTGCTCCGCTCGATCTTCTGGTCGATCTGGTTGGAGGGATCGAGTAACTTCCTCGATCTACTTCTCGATCATTGGATGATCGAGTCTTGGTCTCGATCTGGCTCTCGTTCTGCATGGCGTCATTTACGTTCGTACTCCAAATCGATCTTCTCTCTCGATCCTTCCTCTTGAATCGACTAGATGCACTCGATCTTCTGGTCAATCTCATCTAGATCGACCTGCCTTGCTCAATCCGCTACTCGATCTCGGGTCCTTAGCATGCACGTCTGAGTTCTCCAAGTATCCATGAGCTCCACTTTGAACCTCCTCACGTCCACATAGCCTCCGCAACTCCATAGTGCTCCAAACAACCTGATAATGATGCATATATGCAAGAAACATGCAAAATGCGAATGCAAAGGGACCTAAAACCTAAAATGCAACAAATAGAACAAACTATCTTATAATGCATGATGAATGCATGAAAAACTATCCTAAATTCATGCAAAATATGCAGAATATATGGCAATATCAACTCCCTCAAACTTTCCCTTTGCTTGCCCTCAAGCAAAAAAAATTCAAGAAGGAAGAGAGGTTTGAAAGTGTGATAAACGGATTCTAGCGAGGGTTATGATGCAGAGAGGTTATCAAACTCTAATGCAAGCAATGTTGTAGTATAGCAAGCAAGAGAGAGTCAATCCATTTCTAGGAGATAAAGAATGCACAGAGAATGCAAGGACTAAAGCAAATCTAAGCAAAATGAGACAGTTTATGATAAAATCTCTAAAAACTAGATGCAGCAACTTAAACAGAATGAAACCTATTTTAAAAATACTAGAAAGGAAGAAACTACCACGAGAAACAAACAGATTAATTAAAGGAGAAAGCTTCGAATTATTAAAATTCGACTAGTGGATCGACCACGAGATCGACCACTAGATCGAGCAGTAACAATCGATCTCGTCTAAAATCGTAAGAACAGTAAAGCTAATGACCAGGATGCTATCAGATAACAAGCGAATGATGAGAATAGACGTAAAGATGCTAAAAGGAAGGGTCTAGGGTTGAGATTCATGGTTAGGGGTTTCAAAGGTTCGACCTTGGTTTTAAAAACTTTAGATCGACTCACTTGGTGAGGATCTCTAAGCCTTGAAAACAAAACAAGATCTATTTGTGGCTTTCGGTATAGATCACTCTTTCATCCTCTCCTCCAAACCCATGGCTTGTGGTGGAAAGAAAGGTCGAAAGGCAAGGAAAACAGATTTCAAACGAATGGCTTAACTAATCCCCCAAACTTCCATGGCTTTTGGGAAGGGGTAACTAGTCTCTAAGGTGTGATCTTCCGAGGCTCCTGAATCCTGTCAAGGTAAGGAACCTCTCGGATCATGAAGCTCTTGGCGTGAGATTCTTCAAGCTTTAAGATCTCAACACCTTAGCAGAGATAGCCTTTGAAAACGTTTTGAAAAACCCAAGATCGAAACCTTTTTAACCCCTTAATCCTCTCAACCCCGAACCCAAAAGAAACTACTCGCTACACATAGAGTAAATCAAGCAAAGCATATGAAACGAGACGATGAACATGAAAGGAAAACTAGATTAAACGATAATGATTCGAATACAAAAGCTTAAGAGAAAAACGAGTTTCAACAATGGTGTTCTTCACGAAACGAGAGAGAAAACATAAGGAAAAAGATAAGGATCTAAAAAGTTATCAAAAAAGGACGTCGCCGCCTTGCCCAAAATGCCCAAACAAGCCAATGGTCCCCCCTTCGCTAGCAGCCAAAAACGGTTGAAAGGACAGAGATCGACTCCAAGATCGAGTGGTTCTCTCGATCATATCCGGGCATCGTGTCTTCGGCTCGATCCGGGTCTCGATCATCATCGGCGAATCGAGTGTTGCATCAGATCTCGGTATCGATCTTCGGCTGGATCGAGTGATGTACTCGATCTGACTCTCGCTCTACATGGCGTCATTTACGTCCGTACCGATTGATCGATTGCTCCACTCGATCTCCGTCTCGATCATTCTCTTTGGATCGCCTAGTTGGCTTGATCTTCTGGTCGATCAACTCCCAGATCGACCGGCCATGCTCGATCTGCTCCTCGATCTCTGGCCCTTAGTATATTTTCGAGCTCCCACGAACTGCTACATCAGCCTCAACACGTCCACGAACCTCCACGACTCCAAAGCAGCCAGAAACAACCTGAATGTGATGCAAAATGCAAGGAAAATGCGTATGCTGATGCAAGAATGCTCTAGGACCCTAAGTGATGCAATCTAACCTAAAACATGATACAAATGCATGAAAAGCTAACTAATGAGTATGCAAAATGTATGCAATATGCAATAACATCAACTCCCCCAAACTTACTTCTTGCTTGCCCTCAAGCAACAGAAAATAAGTAAGGAAGAGAGGTTTTAAGAAAAATGAGTGGGGTTTTAAACTTTTTGCAAAGGTGCCTTTCAAATGAATCAATCTCAATGTCCTAGTTAACAGTTCTAAAATGTTATGCTTACATTCATACTCCAAAGAACTTAGCCATACTCATCACACAAAGAAATTCAAATCATGACTCTCCTATTCCTAACAATCAAAGAAACTCATCCTTTAACA